GAGATTCTGGGTTTGTATTATTTTTTGATTTAATGTTAGAAGGTGTTAGGGTTTGCAGAAAGTGAAAGGGAAGGAAGAAGATGAAAGGGAAGGAAGAAGATGGAAGGAAAAAAAAAAGGAAATATTTTAAGGTTTTTTTTTGCCATGTCATTCTTTATTTTGCCATATCATTCTTTTTTTTGCCATGCTGTCATCTATTTCCGTTAGGTAATGGGACACGTCAATCAATTTTTAACGGAAGGACTAAATCGGGGTAAAAATGGTAAACAGTAAGGACCAAATCAAGGATTTTTTTAGTTCAGGGACCAAATCGGGGGTTCGTATAATAGTTGAGGGACCAAAATGGGGTTTTAACCAATACAAAAAATGCCAGTTGTGTCTCATTGAGGCAGCGAGAGAGATAAAGTTGAGGAAAAAGCAAAAGCAGAAAAAGACGATTTAGGAAAAAGTATTACTGACCCATAGAAAACAAAAAATGCCAGCTACATCTGATTGGGGGAGGGAGAGAGATTAAGTTGAGCGAAAAGCAAAAGTAGAAAAAGATGATTTAGAAAATGTAGAGTGGAAAGCAAAAGCAGAAAAAGACGATTTAAAAAAAGTATTACTAATCCATAGAAAACAAAAATGCCAGCTGTATCTGAACGTGGGAGGGAGAGAGATAAAATTGACTGAAAAATCAAAAGTAAAAAGAGCTTTTTTTATTAATTTTTTGATAATAGTAATTATATTAAATTTTAAATCAAATTATATCAAATTTTACAATAAAATTTTTTTATAATATTTATTTTTTAATTTATAAGATTTAAACGTAAAATTTTATTTAAAAAAATTAAAATTTTTTACTTAAATTAATAAATAATTAATAAAAATAAAAAAAATTCAAAAAAAAAAGTATTATCAACCTACCAAAAACAGAAAATACCAGTTGTATCTTATTGAGGGAGGGAGAGAGATAAAGTTGAGGGGAAAGCAAATGCAGAAAAAGACAATTTAAGAAAAAGTATTATTGATCCATGGAAAACAGAAAATACCAACTATATCTGACTGGGGGGGAGGGACACAGATAAAGTTGAGTGAAAAGCAAAAGCAGAAAAAGATGATTCAGAAAGAGGGGAGTGGAAAACAAGAGCAGGAAAAGAGATTTAGAAAAGGTCTTACTAACCCATAAAAAACAAAAATGCCAGCTGCATCTAACGAGGGAGGGACAGAAATAAAGTTGAGTAAAAAGCAAAAGCAGAAAAAAATGATTCAAGAAAAAGTATTACCGACATATAGAAAACAAAAAATGCCAGCTGTATCTGACTGAGGGAGGAAGAGAGATAAAGTCGAGTGAAAACAAAAGCCAAAAAAACGATTTAGGAAAAAGTATTACAGACCCATAGAAAACAAAAAATGCCAGCTATATCTGATTGGGGGAGGAAGAGATATAAAGTTGAGTAAAAAGTGAAAGTAGTAAAAGATAATTTATAAAAAGTATTATTAACCCAGAAAACAAAAATGTCAGCTGTATCTACCGAGTGAGGCAGAGAAATAAAGTTGAATAAAAAGCAAAAGCAGAAAAAAGACGATTTAAGAAAAGGTTAAATGTTAAATTTAGTCCCTCAACTTTAAAAAATGCACATTTTTGATCCTTCAACTACAAAAAATACACAATTTTGGTCCCTCCATCAGTTAAGTATGAGGTGACAGTTAAATAATTTCATGTGGCATTATCTTTTAATTTTTTTGATGATGTGGCAATAATATATATTTTAATTATATTATATAAATAAATAAAAATAACACGTAGATTAATATTTATAATTTAAATAAAAGTAAATAAAATTACCTAACTACCCTCACCCACCCAATCCCTCTTCTTCCCCTTCTTTCTTTCTCTTTCTTTCTTCCCTGCCCTGGGTCTCCACCAGGCTGCATTCCATGGCTGCGTCGAACCCAGCCTGCTGGGTCTCGTCGGAACCCAGCATTGCTGGGTTCGAGGAGACCCAGCCAGGCTGGGTTCGACAAAACCCAGATCTGCTGGGTTCCGTCGAACCTAGCAAGGCTGGGTCTCCCTTGTTGAGTTGCGACGAGACCCAGCCTGGCTGGGTTCGACGAACCCAGCCTGGCTGGGTTTCCCTGAACCCAACCCTAGCCTGGCTGGGTTTCCCCGAACCCAGCAAGGTTGGGTTCCGCCCCTTGCTTGGTTTCGCCCGAACCCAGCAAGGCTGGGTCTCGTCGAACCCAACTGCCGGTTCGACGAGACCAAGCTGGGTTCCGATGAACCCAGCTTTGCTGTTTCAATGCTGGATTCATGTTTTTCATTCTTCTTTCTATTTTCATTTCCAGTTGTTAATAAATTTGAGAGTTGATTTATAATTTGTTTGTATTTTTGTTAGAATTTGATTAGAGTTTGATTGATATTGTTTATTGAAGGGTTAATTTGATTTGATAAGATCTATTAAGTTTGAAGTTTGAGGTTTCAATGAAACCCAGTAGCTGGGTTCAATTTCTCAAGTTCTCTTGAGAAAAGAGAAGAAGAAGAAATGAGTTAAGATCGATTTTGTAGAGGAGTAGAGATGAGAGAGCATTAAGAGAAGAAGAAGAAATGGATTAAAATTGATTATGCAGATGGAGTGGAGATTGATTCTGCAGATGGAGTGGGAAATTGATTTTTCAAAGAGTGAAGATGAGAAAGGAAGATGACATGTCGTAAAAAAAAGTCAAAATCAATGCTTTTTTAAGTTATTTTTGTCATGTCATCAAAAAAATATAAAAAATGCCATGTGACCGAGTTAACGGCGAAAATTGACAGAAGGACTAACGGAGTGCATTTCGTATAGTTGAGGGATCAAAAAAATATAAAAAATTGTTGAAGGATCAAAAATGTGCAACTGACTAAAGTTGAGGGACCAAATTTAGCATTTAACCTTAAGAAAAAGTATTACGACCAACCTCTCCATTGGCCTGCTGGCTTGGCCTATTTTGCGAAATGGTTAAGCCACAGGTCCTGGGTTCGAGGTTGGTAAAAGCAAGGAGAAGCAAAGAAAAAGTATTACGGACCCATAAAAGACAAAAAAATGCCAGTTGTATCTTATTGGGGGAGGAAGAGCAATAAAGTTGAGTGAAAAGCAAAAGTAAAAAAAACCATTCAAAAAAAGTGTTACTGACGTATGGAAAACAGAAAATGCCAGCTGTTTCTGACTGAGAGAAGGAAGAGAGACAAAGTTGCGTGAAAAGCAAAAGCGAAAAGAACCATTCCGGAAAAAGTGTTACCGACCCATAGGAAGCAAAAAATGCCAGCTGCTTGTGATTAGGGGGAGGAGAGAGACAAAGTTGGGTGAATAGTAAAAGGGTTTTTTATTTTATATGTTTAAAGTATATTGTAAAGATGTATTTATTTTATTTTTTAAAAAATATATTAAAATTGATGTTAATTTTAATATAAATAAATTTAATTAAATAATTAATAAATAAAAATTAATTTTTATTTTTAATATAAATTTATAAAAAAATATAATTAATATTTATATATATATTTTAAAAATATATACTAGATAAATTTAAAATAAAAACAAAAACAAAAAACCACTTGAAAAGAAATATTACTGACCCATAAAAAAACAAAAAATACCAGCTGTATCTGACTGGGGAGAGAGAGATAAAGCTGAATGGAAAAGTGCGGGTCTACACTCTAGAGCTTAGCTCCACGTGAAATGCTTGAAACCAAGCTATTTGCATTTTCATAAAGAAAAGAAAAAAAAAAAACCAAACTATTTACTTGTCCGTGTGTGGTTTAGTCATCACATTTTTTTTTTTAAATAAGTGATAATATCTCTAATGATGTAAAATTTAAATTTTAAATTTAATATTTTTTTATTTTTAAAAAATAAATATGAATATTGTTAGTATGATTATCATGTAAAAAAAAATGCTTGAAACCTATGGACATCATGTCTAGTGGTGAAATACGAAAATTGACGTGAGGAAACAACATTTTTCCTATAAATGAAAAGAGGAATGCTAGCTGCACTCGCCTTTCTCCAGCACTCTCCGACACTCCCTCATCTAAAATAGCCACGTGAACTTTTTAAGTTGGAAACTTTGAATTGCGAGCCAAATTTTGTTACGTGGACATTTTACATGAGAGAGTGTTGGAGAGTGCTGGAGAAAGGCGAGTGCAGCTAGCATTCCTCAAATGAAAATTTATGATAAGGTGAGGTCGCACAGTCACGGAAGGCTGGACACAGGCGGGCCTCAGTCTAATTGAAATTAATATATAAAGGCTTTTACTGTACACCCTCTATATTTAAAATAATTAATTATTATTTTTTATTTTAAATATATTATTAATTTTTATATTATAAAATTAAAATATATTTATTTTTTACACTAATTTTGTTATTATTTATTTTATTTAATTAATTTATCTAATTATAAAATTTTTTTGTTGTTTATTTTTTGAAAAATATTATAGATAAATATAAATTATTTTTATTTTTAATTAAGAAAAAATTTAAAAAATAATTATTATTTTTGCCAAAAATAAACAAAATTAAAATTTTAAATTATATTTAATTTATATAAAAATATATGTTATAACAATAAATTCCAAACAATATATTATATTTTTTAATATTCCATACACACTGTGCCAGTAAAATCGGCTTCCATGCCAATAAGCAATTGACAACTTGGTAGTAAGTTGCCAAATGAAATGTATGCTAAATTACTGTATCTATATTTCATCTATAATAGTACTTTGGTCCAGTTGCGGCCCTCACTTCCACTCTCACAATTCACGACTCTGATTCTGCCTCTCAATTCAATTGTGTTTGCTGCATAGTATGGCGGATACGGGCCTCATCCTCATCTCCTCTCTTATACAGGAGGCAATTTCCAAAGCAACTCCATTTGCTGCTGGACAGGTCAGCTTTGCTCCTTGGCCGCCGAAGGAGTTTGAGAATCTTGCTCATTTGCTAACTGCAATTCAACCTGTAGCCGAAGGCGCTGAGGAATGTCAAGAAAGTGATCGGGCCCCTATGCTTTGGCTGCAGAAGCTCAAAGATGCAGTTTATGACGCGGTGGATTTGCTGGATGAGTGTGATTATCATGTTCTTCAGATGCAAGTTGAGACTCCAGGCCTGAAGCGGAAGCGGGATCAGGTGCACACCTCCTTTTCTCCCTCCAATCTTGATGCCTTTAGTCTGCAGGTGGATACAAAATTATTAGAGATTAATGAATCTTTAGCTGAAATTAGAAAGGAGGTAGACTTTATTAATCTGATGATCGAATTTAGAAAGCAAAAACTTGCATCTGATAGGCCAAATCATGAGATAGTCCCCATTCTTGATAGTTCGGAAGTTGTTGGAAGGGAAGATGATGTCTCAAAAATGGTTGACTTGTTAGATGAATTGAGGAGTAAACATCCAATCTCTGGCATTGCAATAGTAGGTGTGGCAGGTGTTGGAAAAACAACTGTTGCAAAATTAGTTTATATGAAGGCCGAGGAAGAAAAGCGCTATGATGTAGTAGCTTGGGTTTGTGTATCTGGGGAGTTTAATGATCAAAGGATTTTGGGTGAGCTGTTGGAATATTTCAACATTAGCTGTGTCCGTCCAAATACAATTCATGAGCTGCTTCACGATCTAGGCAAAGAATTAGAAAAAAAAACCTTTCTTCTCATTCTTGATGATGCTCAGGAAAAAGATGCTATCAAGTGGAATGATTTTCTCTGTAATTTGTCAAAAGTTGTGAAAACCAATGGGAGCTCTATTGTCCTAACAACTCGTAGTGAAGGTGTAGCAGCACTGGTGGAGAAACTTCCTATGTATAGGTATGATATGCAGCGGCTATCAGATGATCAGTGTTGGATGATAATTAAGAAGCTAGTTCTCAGTTTACCCTCAAATGCCATTGGGCACTCTATTGCAAAACAATGTGGTGGCTTGCCTTTGGTTGCGACTGCCATAGGAGAAACAATGAGCAGTATTGAGGAAGATGAATGGTTGGCTATAACAAGAAATAGAGAATGGAAGTTAGAAAATAGAAATTCAATTTTGTCTGTGTTAAAACGGAGCTTCTTTGATTGTATGCCATTAATGTTGAAAAAATGCTTTTCTTATTGTTCAATTTTTCCAAAAGGTTTTGAAATTAGAAAAGATGATTTAATTCAACTATGGATGGCTGGAGGATTCCTTCAACAATCTAATGAAAGCTCTATGACAATGGAGGATATTGGAAACAAGTACTTTAATGACTTGGTGTCCAATTCCTTATTCCAATATGTGACAAGGGATGCATTTGAAAATGTTAAGTCTTGGAAGCGGGTTGATCTAGCGTATGGTGATACTTTCTCTGATGACGCCATGGGACATTTGAGTAGGGATGCATCTGGGATTGTTGATTATTGCAAAATGCCTGATTTAGTGCATGATCTTGCTCTCTCT